GTGTGTGTGTGTGTGGTGTCGTGTTTGTGTGTGTGTGTGTGTGTAGCAGTATTAGACTGCTAACAGAATTGGACAGACTGTATAGCAGTGTTAGCCTGCTAACCGGAGGTCAGCAGACCTAGTCCACCAGCCGTTCCACAGGACAGGCAGTCTCCTCTTGTAAAGATTGAAAGTCTTGGACAAGTCCAGTGAGGGTGGCTGAGGGCTAGAATCAAGCCAGCAGCAGGAGGTGGGTTGGGGATGGTTCTCACGACCTTTCTGACGAGCCCTGGCTGGGATGGGGCTCAAAGCTCTGCAGACACGACAAGTCCACTGGGTGGGGCCACAGCAGAAAGACACGTGGTGTGGATCCCGAGCCTGGAGATGCAGGGTGAGGGCAGGGGGCTCTGAGCACCCCTCAATCCCCTCCAGGGCAGCAGCTCTGTGCTCATGGGAGAGATGACGGGCCGACCTCCCCACCACCACTCGTCCCATGTCGACCGCTGCCCTCGCTGTCCAGACTGCTGCCCACCAACTGGGCCACTTTGCCCACTGCAGACTTTCCCCCCAACCCCGGAAAGCCTGTGGGGGGTCTGACGAGAAGACCTGTCTCCACCACGCAAGTCACTTTCGCACCAAACTTCACTTGTGCAATGTCATTGCTGTCACGTTGATGCCAACTCAGAGTGACCTCACTGGGTTTCGGAGGCCGGGAATCCCGACGGGAGGAGCTGCTGGTGGATTGGCCCCCGAGGATGCCCAGTCTCCGAACGAGCACTGCTGCAGACCACACCACCAGAGGCCCCTTTCCAGCCCCAGCAGGATATGGAAGTCCACGGGGGAATGCAGCCCAAATGTGCCTTCAATGGTAAGAAGCTGAGACTTTATCTCATGGGCTTTGGACCTGCTATCAGGAGGGACCATGCTTGAGAGGGTGGGCCAAAAAGGAGGAAGACCATCGGTGTGATGGAGGGACACAGCAGCTGCAGCCGTGGGCTCACTAACAGTGGGCAGAGTGACTGAGGACAGGGCAGGACCGGCAAAAGGTAAGGGGTTCAAACCCAGCCTGGAAGAAAGAAGTGGTGATCTACTATCATAAAAATTATAACCTGAAAAAAAAATTACAGCCTGAACAGCAAAGTAGACCCGGGCAGGGCAAGGATGAAATTGTGCAACAATGAATGAATAGAAATCCAAGTTTTCTGTAAACTTTAGTTAAAATATCAATGTTTAAGAAAAAAGTTTAACTTAATAGAAAAATACTGCCTATTTAAAAAAAATTACAACCTGGGGTGCTTCTCGTGGGTGGGGGGTGGCCAACAGTGAGCCCGAGTCTCAGGTATCTGAGCTCACAGACTTCATTGGTCCAGCGTGGGAAAGGTTTATTTCAAAAGCTGAAGTCTTGAACTAATTGGAAACTCCTTGGGAAAGCCACTCGAAAAGGTCAGATTTATTTGCTGAGGTCTCTGAATGAGCATTGACTTTGAAACTGCTTTGTTTAAGCCCTTTTTTCTGCATTGGGCACATTGGAATCAAATGTAGTTTCAAGTTATCTGTAAATCTTTTCAGATGGTATTTTGAAATACTTGGACTTGACTCTGTGACAAATGATAGATGTATGGCATGTGTGACATGTTTTTAAATAATAAAAGTGCTCGCTCTACACACACACACACACACATACATACACACACACTCTACAGCATAGAAAATCTTATGGTGCATTGGAAAGAGGCTGGGGGCTTAAAGAGGGTAAAGAGTGCACTCGGGGGCTTTTCTTCTCTCTCACATGGGTTTGCTGGGAGTTGAAACGAACTCAAAGGCAACCAATGGTCTATGGGACAGAGGGGTGGCAATCACCTCTGTTCTCAACCCCAGCCCAGGGAGATGACTGGCGTGGGTCACACAGGTGAGGGCAGGAGCTATGATTCCTGGAGGACCTCAGCATGTCTGGCCTCCACAGGCAGGGTGACAGGCACTCCTCTGAACCTTCCCAGAAGCCCCAGCTGGAGCCAGAGCCTGGGAGGCTGGAGCTGAAGGAGGGCTTTCCCTTGGACCAGAGGTCACTCCCTTGATCCGGTGAGAGACATCACTACCCTGACCACCTGTAACACTGTGTCTTTCCTTGCTGGCTTTAGAAAAGTGAGTTCTGAAGCTATGAAGGGGCCACATGGTGGGGGAACATCCAGGAGTTACTCCAGCTGAGAGCAGTAGGGAAAAGGCCACAAAGAACAAATTTGCACACTCAGAACACCTTGAACTTCAGAAAGGAAGGCAACCTGGCTGACATGACTGTAGGCTCTCTGACCCGAGCACAGGGCCCAGAGAAGCCCCACCTGGACTCCTGGCTGACCCAGGGAGGTTCTGAGACCATCAGTGTGGTTTGTAAGCCACTAGTGGGCATGTGGCCAGGAGAGATCAGCCCTTGGAGAAGGACATCATGCTCGGAAGGGTGGACAGACAGCACAGGAGAGGGAGACCCAGGATGAGATGGATTGGTACAGTAACTGGGGCGGTGGGGGTTGGTGTGTCAGAGTTAGTGAGACTGGCTCAGGAGAGGGAAGCGTTCAGAGCTGATGTACACAGGGTCGCTACACATTGCAGGTGACTCAATGACCCATGAAAACAATAACATACTATGACAGGTTTGGAAGCAGGAGTGGCATCCACTTCCTAAATAACATGCCTCTGGAACCTCTATGAACTTTGATAAATGTCGATAGATATAAAAGGGCTTCAGGCCCTTCGTGGGGTTGCTTGAGTTGAAGGCAATCAACAACAACAACATTGTGATGTGCCGCGGAGTCAGAATCCACTTCACAGCTCATCCTCCTGTGAGGTTTCAGAGGTTGCAAATTTCCCAGAAAGAGACTGCCCGTCCTTCTACTGCCAAGCAGCTGGTGGATTCGAACCACACGGCTTCAGGATGTCAGCCTAACTTCTTACCACTTGGCCACCAGCGTGCCCTTTAAGCTTCTAAGCTCTGATAGCTTCTTATGCAGCAAATCTGTGGTGCTGCATGGCCCAGGTGGTCTCTATGCCCCCTATGACCCTCTGTGAGCTCCCTGCTCTGTACATAAAACCATAGCCCCCACTGTGCTCCCACCCTGGGGCCCAGAACCACAGCCCAAGTGGACCCTCAGGTGCCAAGCCATGTCCTGAATAGACCACTCACCCTGGCCCGGGAGGATGGTGAGATGTAGTAGTGGCCCTCGGAGTCCCCGAGTCGGATGCGGTGGCGGCAGGCGCGGGCCAGCCCGCTCAGGGCACACGTGCTGGGGGGATGCAAAGGGCACCATGGGTGGGTGGGTGGCCGGCGGGGGCTCACTCTGACCATGCTGGCTGTAGGCTGGGTACCACAGCCAGAAGGACGCATAGGGAGGCACATGCAATGTGGACGTGGCCTTCGTATCACTCCCTTCCCCAAGCCCAGCTTTCAAAGGGGACCAGAGCTGGGCCAGACTGGAGGGCTTCCCCAGGTGTCCCCAGCTAAGTCTCTAAGCCAAGTTGCACCCTAATCCTAGACTCCTTCCCTCCCGACTCTTGGGCAGAGGAGCTTGGTCAAGTTCTTATCAGCTGCACCAAAGCCCCGCTCTCAGCAGCCCCTACACGTGGCCCTATACTTAACTGAGCACCTCAGATTCAGTCATCCCGACAGCCATTCCTGTCCGCCTTCCTTTCCCATTCCCAGGCACTTAACCTGCCTTGTCCCTCAGACCATCATTCACCCCAGTGGTCCCTCACCCATGGTTCTCTGCTGCCTGCCAGCCCTGTCCACCACACGTTCTCTCCTCACCCCAGGTCTGAGACCTCACACCGATCCTCAACTACCCACATGGCCCAAATGGCCCCCATCTGAGCCCTCACTCACCCGCGTGTCCCTCCACTCGTTCCTGACTCCACAGCTGACTCGGGCCTCATCCAGCCCACTGCTCTCTGCTCCTCACCCACCGTGATCTCCCGGTCCCCAGGCTGGGGCAGCCAGCATGTCCTTGTGCTGGGATCCCCTCAGATCCTCCCCCAGTCCCTCTGCATCCAGTCTCTCCCCACCTCCATGCCATGGCTAAGGTGCTGCTTCCCACCTGGAAGCCATCATTTTCCCCTCTGCCTGCCTCCTGCCCAGGAAAGAACCATGAAGAATCCTGAATGGGATGTGGTTAAAGCTGCAGGACTTGTCAGAGCCTCTACTGGTCCTAGGTGCAGGAAGCACTCTTTTCAGGGAACATTGATTAATGATCTCTGAAATGCTGGTCTACAAGTTTAAAGCCCAAACCTTTTATAACACAGCACCAAACCTCCCTGCAGCCTCAGTCCCACCCCACCGCTCCGACCACCCCCACACAGGCGTCTGTCCAGTTAATATTCCAGTTTCTCCTGTCTTCACTCATTCTGTTCCTTTTTCCTCAAATGGCTTTCCTGACTTGGCAAACTGCCATCTACCCTTGAGACCCTGTCTCTGGCATGGGGTTCCCATCATAGCTCCCTCCCTCCCAGCTAGGACTTAGCTGCCCCAAAGCCCAAATCTTTCCCACTCTGCTCTGCGCTGTCCTGCTGCTACCCTTGTTCAAGACCAGCCGAGCAGCGGGAAGTCCTTGTTACCCACTAGCGAGAGGCAGGCCTTGTGCCTGACGTCACTATGGGGTGGCTGGGGTCTGGAACCCTGTGGGAGGGAGATGCACTCCTCGCCGAGTATCCCTCTGCAGTCCTCCCAGGGCACCCCTCAGTAGTCCTTCCTGGTCACCACTCCGTAGTCCTCCCCGGGCACCTCTCCACAGTCCTCCCCAGGCACTCCTCTGCAGTCTTCACCAGGCACCCCCCTGCAATCCTCCCTGGGCACCCCACTGCGGTCCTCCCTAGGCACCCCCCTGCAATCCTCCCTGGGCATCCCTCTGTAGTCCTCCCCAGGCACCCCCTGCAGTCCTCCCTGGGCACCATCCCCACAGTCCTCCTAGGCACCCACCCGGCACAGCCCCAGCCTCCTCCCCAGGGGGCAGGGCCAGGCTCAGGGCTGTAGACTTACTTGGTGCTGCCACACTCGTCCGCGGCCACCTTCACGGCGGGCAGTGTGTTAGAGGCCACGGGCTCGATGGTGAGCGTGTTGTCCTCCACAGCGGCCTGCACCAGGGCGGAGAGCTGTGGCGGACAGGGAGGCAGAGCAGGCAGTGAGGGGCCAGGTTCTGGCAGCAGGTCTGGGCCCCCTCGACCGGCTGCGCCCACTCACCTCCCTCATGGTGAAGTCCAGACAGGGGCCCACATCCTCCCGGTACACCCTCTCCAGGAAGGGGCAGGTCTTGTCCAGGGTGGGTGACTCCCTCCAGGCTTGAAACTCTGCAAACAGGGTGGTGTCTACCTGCGGGGGAGGTGGATGGGCAGGGGGCAGTCAGGGTGCTGGGGTTCCACACAGGAGAGGCAGGAGAAGAGGAGGGGGCACGAGGAGGAGGCAGGCGGACCCCAGCATGCCAGCAGGTCTTAGCCTGGTGGCCGTGCAGGTGGGCCAAGGCTGAGGCTCCCCAGGAAGAATGCTCCTTCCCGTCACACCAGAGAGTCCAGAAGGAAACGCTCCATTTCCAGGTGGATCTTGGTGTTCTTGTCACCACAGGATTCCCAGGACCCTCCCGCTTCTATTTCAGTCTACAGGTGTAAGGAGGGGAAGAGGCTGGAAGCATAAGGAAGGGAGGCAGCAGAACAGTGCCATCTCCCAGAGGAGAGACAAACCTGCAGGTGCAAACAGGGAGGTCCGGGTACACACAGGTATGTTCGGGGACAGGAAAGTACACACAGGTGCACACAGGGAGGTCCGGGGACACACAGGTACGTTCGGGGGGACAGGAAATACACACAGGTGTATACAGGGAGGTCCGGGGACACACAGGGATGTTCGGGGGACAGGAAATACACACAGGTGTATACAGGGACATCTAAGTACACACAGGTGCACACAGAGACATGAAAATACAGAGGTGGACAGGGACACGTGGTTGTTGTTATGAGCCGTAAAGTCACCTGCCACTCATAGCCACCCTATGTACAACAGCTCTGAAGTCTGCCCTGCCCTGAGCCAGTGTCACTGACTTCGACACACCTACCACCATTGCCCTAGTTACTGTATCCATCCATCTCATCCGGATCTTCCTCTCCTGCGTTGTCCATCCACCCTTCCAAGCATGATGTACTTCTCCAAGGACTGGTCCCTCCTGGCCATGTGCACAAAGTATGTGAGACAGAGCTTCCAAATCCTAGCCTCCAAGGAGAAACTTGGTTTTACCCTCTCCAAGACAAACATATTTGTTTTCTTGTTAGTCCATGGTATGTTCAAGACTCTTCTTCAGCACCACAACTCAAAGGCATCAATTCTTCTTCCGTCATCCTTTGTCATTGTCTAGCTCTCTGATGCATAGCAAATAACTGTAAAGACCATGGCCTGGATCAGGCGCACCTTAGTCTCTAGACTGACACTGTACTCAGTACAGTACTGTTCTCAGTGCTCTGGAGAGGTCACTGACAGCAGATTTAGCTAATGCAATTAATCTTTTGATTTCTTGGCTGCTGGTCTCAAGAGTATTGATTGTAGAGGGTCACGTAGGGACATCAAAGTACACACAAGTGCACGCAGAGACATGAAGGTACGCACAGGCACACACAGAGACATGAAGGTACACGCAGAGACATGAAGGTACACACAGGCGCATGCAGCCCACACAGGCACATGCACACAGGAGAGGGTGCATCCAGGCTGCCCCTGCTGCCCACCCGAGAAGGTGTCTCCCTGGCCTCCTGGGCACATGCAGAGAGCGGGGAGGGTGGGCAGAGGCTCAGCTCTACCCAGGAGCCATTACCTGGCGAGTAAAGGAGAGAGAAGTGGAGGAGGAGGGGGCGGCGGGCGGCTCCCCAGGCGGGAGCTGCCAGGCCGGCTCGTAGGTGAGGTGGACCGCCCTGCTGGGGACCACGCAGAGGAGCAGGGAGAGGAGCTGGGGCAGCCCGGGCTGGGTGGGCAGGGTTGGGTCAGACAGACAGACAGACAGACAGACAGATGCAGAGAGACAGACAGGAGGAAGGAGGAGATGTTAGTGTCCAGCTGGAAACTTAGATGGCAGAGGCTTCTTCAGTGTGACTCCGAGGGGATGGGGGTCAGAGGGCCCTGAGAGGTGGGCAGGTCTAGCGTCTCCTACCCAGAAGCCCATGTTAGGAGGCAGGCTGAGGGTGGGGCAGGCGTGGTGGCAGAAAGTGCTAGAAAAGGGTCCCCACTGCAGACCCTAGTCCTGCCTGCTGTCCCTTACAGGCCCTCCAGGCAGCCTCCCTGCCCAAAGGTCCATGTGCAGCTTGGACCAAGGGCCCTGGGTCCCCCTGAGGGGAGGATGGACATTCTTCCAAAAGCTGAGCTTGTCCTACTGCCACAGCCAGGGGGCGCTGACGATCACAGTGTCCCAAGGGGTCCCGATGAGGTCCAGGGCCTCAGGGGAGGCCCCCTAGGGAGGCCCACGATCCAGCCTCTTCAGGCTCAGATCATATGTGGTCACACCTCAGCAGAGAGCACTGCACCCCATGGGGCAGTGGGGCGCAGGGGTTCTCAAGCCTACCCCGTACGGAGACCAGGGAGTAGAAAAACTCAGATGTGAAGGGGCAGGTACAGCCCTCGGGGCCAAAGGCAGAGGCCCAGAGAGGGCAGGGCAGGCCCCAGGCCACACAACACCGGCTCTTGGCCCTCCTGGTCCTCTGCCCTCACCTCCTTGCCCTCCCTGTCCGGGGCGAGCGCATGTCCTGCGGCTGGGCACACAACTGGGCAGAGGGTGCTGCTGGTACTCTTGTGTCGTGAGTGGCCCTTCCGGGGTCCGGCCTTGGTGGGGCTCAGCAGCTGCGGGTGGAGCTCCCGGTTCGGGGAGGCTGGTGTGGACGTGATGACGAGGGTCTTCAAAGCTGTCACCTCTGCCTGCAGCATGTCGATCTGGCCAGGACAACGGGGACCAGGGGTGATAGGACAGCTGCCACTGTCCTCCCACCAGCCCAGTTCAGTCAAATCCGGTACACGATCTTATGTGTTACCAAAAGGACAGCCTTCTAGGTAGGGACTGGGTCACTCAGTTTAGAGACAGAGTAACTGAGACTCAGAGAAGGGCTGTAATCTGTTCAAGGTCACTGTGATCAAGGATTCTTGCTAGTGGGTGGCTGAAAGCTGGCTGACCACTGGGCCCCAAGACCCAGCAACAGCCCAGCCCTCCCATTTTACAGATAGGCAAGCAGTCCAGCTAACACAGGGTAGGGAAACCACGTCCACAGGGCCCTCCAGTCCCTGAAGCCGCGTGGTACGGAGGAAACACCGGTTCCCACCTTCCCTGTGTGATCATACACACACTGCCACCCTCTCTGGTTCCTGGCTGACCCCGCTGGGTCGAGGTGCCAATCCAGCTGAGCCTTGAAGGGGTGGGCACGCAGGAGGGAGCTCTGACGGGTCTCACCTTGCCCCACGCCTCCTTCAGTTGCTTCTCTGACGCTGCCTGCTTCATATTGGCTTCTCGGACCATCTTGTGGGCTTCCTAGGAAGGAGGACCGGCATGGGGTGAGTGGCCAGAAGGGGTGGGTGAGCGCCCTGTGCCCAGCCTGCCGCCTCAGCTGGCGCACCTCGAACAGACTGGCAGTCAGCTCCTCCAGCTCCTCCTCCAGCTGCTCTCGGACCTTGGCTAGCCGTTCACACTCCTCATCCTTCAGCTTCAGCTCCTGGGGGCAAAAGGCAGGCAGGGTCAGCCCCACCGCGTCCAGAGCCCCAGCTCCACCCCAGCAGGCTGGCAGCCCCACCCCAGCAGGCTGGCAGCCCCACCCCGAGCAGGCTGGTGTCCCCAGCACACTTTCTCTGCTGCTGCCCGAAGGGTGTGATGCATTGTCCATTTAGCTCCTAGCAGGAGCCCGAAAGGACTGCCTGCCCATTAGTTCTCAGAGACTTCTAAAAGGGGTTTTAAAGTCACAGACATTATTGTTACCAGGGACTGGGGGAAGGTGGGGAGGGAGTTACTGCCTGAGGGATGTTGGGCTTCTGGTGAAGGTGATGGAGAACTCGTGGGCACTACACGGTGGGTGGAGGTGCTGCTGTCATTGTTGGCCGCCATCAAAGCGCTGGCCCCGGCCCCTGACTCAAAGTGACACCTACGACAGTGGAGTGAAACCCCACCTGGTCCGTCCTTGTCCCCATGATAGCTTGCAGAGCAGACCACTGCGGTTCAGAGGGTTTTCATGGACTGTTTTTCAGAAGTAGGCTGCCAGGCCTTCTTCCTAGTCTGAAAGCTCTACTGAAAGTCACTCAGCGTCCAACACAGAGACACACAAGCTTCCACTGACAGATGGGTGGTGGCTGTGTGTGAGGTGTACCAGCCAGGAGTCAAACTTGGGCCACGCTGCACGGAAGCGGAGACACTCTATGGCTGAACCAGCATGGAGTTGGAAGGATCCCGCCCGGCCCTGGGACTCACCTTCTGCGCTCTGTGCAGCTCCTCCCTCAGAAACTCTGAGCCCTTCTCCCGGATCTCCACAGAGGAGCTCCGCAAACGGGCCACGTCCAGCTGGGCGGCGGCAGGGCCCTCCTCCCCGGCTGGGGTCTCTGAGAGGGTCCCCAGGGACTCCCTGCGGCCTTTGCAGAGACCCACGCTCTTCCAGGGGCCTGGGACTGCCCCAAGGGGCGGTGGATGGCCCTCCTCTGCTGGGGGCTGGCTGTGAGATAAATGAGGGCTGTCAGTGCTTGTAAGGTGGGGTCCTGAGAGCTGGGGAGCTGAGCCTAGAAACATCCTCGGCCGCAGTGTCCCCTCCTGTGAAAGGGCACCGCCAGCTGGCTATAATCAAGCTCGACATGGGGGCAGAGGGACCAAGCACAGGACTTCGGGGTGCCAGGCCCGGGCTCATGCATCTTTGTCACTGGCCCTCCAGCCCTGAGCGTGGCGCATGCCAGGCGGTCGGCACACACCAGGTGGGCAGCATGCAGTCAGGCTCCCTGTGTGTCCGTCCAGCACGAGATTCAGTAAATCAGTGTCGAGATACGATGTCTCCATTCCAATGTACAAAGGGAGAACCTCACCTCAAGAGTCCCTAAAGGCACTGGAGACGTGGGGAGAACACCCCAGCACCCAGGCTGCCATTACCACTGTCCAGGTCCCCCACCAGGGAGCTGTCAGGCATTGTTTTGCAAATTAAATGCAAATGATATGCAAATTAGACCTCATTCAGGACAGACCCTGGAGGAGGGCTAAGGACAGGCTGGGGCAGGAAGCTGATGGGATCTGTTGCCTCTTTCCTCCCAGCAGTGTGACCGCAGACAAGCACCCTCCCTGGGCCTGTGAAGCCCCCTTCCTGGAGCTGGAGACCCCCGCCCTCTCCCACAGCCTGCCCTGCACAGCAGCCCATGGAGAGGGGGGTGCGCAGGAAGGGGCCAGGCCACGGTGGTTTATGCAGAGACAGCACCTCTGGACTCGCTCACTCAGCAGAAGCCGGCGGTTCCTGAGGCAGCAACTTGGGAGTCTCGCCAAGATCGGCTGGGCTGGGGGTGGGGGACCAGGACACGGGCAACAGCAGGGAAGTGGGAGTGGGGGACTCAGAGACCACACAGCAAGGGGGGAGACCAAGGCCCAAGAGGTTGCGGGGAGTGGGGGGGGGGGGGTTTCCGGATGTGGAGAAGGAGGAGCAAGATATGGGGCTGGGGCTGGGGCCTACTCCCTGCCCTGAGGAGTCTGGCAAGGCCACTTAGGAGTCCCAGAGCCTCAGTATCCCTTTTGGTAAAAGGAGAGGCCAACCACGTGCTCATTCATAGCCCTTCACAGTGTACTTACTGACCTAGCGCCCTGCCCAGCCTGTCCTCCATGCTGACGATGGACCTCTCTGCCTGGGCCTGTCCATCAGCGGTCACAGATTTGATGAATGAAGGAGGAACACGTATCCATCCACCAGCACCCACCTCCAGCATCACCAGTGAGCTCTCAGCGCCTCTGTCAGTAGAGGGTCCCTGAGGCCTGAAGGGCTGTGGCCAGCACCTTCCAAACCATTACTGTGGTCACCCTAAAGGCTGTGGTCTGTGCTGATGACTCCCAGGGACAACTCTGCAGTGCCATCTCATGAGAAACTCAGTAAAGATCCCAGACACAGCAAACAATTCACCCAAAGCACTAACCGGCCCTGTGAACCCCAGGGCCCACTACCCTGAGACCAGAGGAACCAGATGGTGCTCGGCTACCACTGCTGACTGGTCTACAGGGCATCACAGTAAGGAACCCTGGACAGACTAGGAGAGAAACAAAACCATCAAAAAGGCTTGACTCAAATTTAACAGAACAGCAAACAACAAATGCTGGCAAGGTTGTAGAGAAACTGGAACCCTTATTCACTGCTGGTGGAAGTGTAAAACGGTGCAACCACTGTGGAAGGCGGTTATGGTGCTTTCTCAAAAAGTCGCAAATAGACATACCATTTGACCCAGCAATTCCACTACTGGGAAAAGAGACCATAACATCACCCAGGCAGATATATGCACACCCATGTTTATCACAGCTTTGTTCACAATAGCAAAGAGCTGGAAACCACCCAAGTACCCAGCAACAAATGAATGGATAAGAAGCTGTGGTATATTCACACAATGGAATACTACGCTGCACTGAAAAACAAGGAACTCACGCAATATTATTTAAAATGGGTGACCCTGGAGGACATTATGCTGAGTGAAATATCTCAGCCACAAAAGGACAAATACTACATAGTACCACTGTTGTAGAAGGGGATTGACATCAGGGTTGGGGTGAGACTGAGAAAAATTGGATTAATTATGTACACTGCGTTGAAACAGATGAGGAAGAGAACAGTTTAAAAGCGATATATGATAGGGTATTATGGTTATGACAAGAGTCCAGGATGAAGGCTGCATAGTGGACTTAGAGGGAGGGATTGTATAACAATGAAATAATTTTACTTTTCAAAGAGAAGAGCAAACTGGAGGGAGGGGGCAGGGAGAAAAATGCAACAATAAATGAATGGAAATCCAAAATCTCTAAACGTTCATTAAAATTAAAAAATTTAAAAAAAAATTTAAAGTCTTGGCTCAGTGAACGGACAGAGACTGGTGCACTCACAGCTGACCCTCTACAACTCTGCAGTGGATTTTCAGAAGCGATAAGTAACACGGTGGGAGACTGCCCATCTTTCTCCTGTGAAGCGTCTGGTGGATTTGAACCGTGTGTCTTTGGCACGGAAGCACTGCTCTTAAAGTCTGGAATTGGACCCACCCCTGTGGCTCAACTCACAGCCAAACAATGGTTGCTGGGTGCTGTCAAATCAGCCACAACTCATTGCAACGCTATGAAGAACAGATCAAAACCACGCTGTGCCAGCTTCACATCGACGCCA